TTACAAATCCGTCTCTCTAACCATTAGGTCACGATGGGCCCTGTAAATCAAAAGCGTGAATCAAAACCTAAAAGACATTTAAACCTATATTTAAAACTATATCATGTTGTCTTTGGTTATATTACTGTATTGTTCTAAATATAAGCTGACCCCCTTTTTCAAGATTTTACCTTTTGGAAAAAGGCTTTCTGAAGACCAAATCTTGTCTTGTGATGACCTAATTACATCCTTGACCCAGTTAAGTCATTTTCTTGGTAAGTTCATAACTTACCAACATAACTAAGATGCTTGCATTCTCATGCTTTCTTTTGAGCTTTATTTATTTGATATACAGCATGCATCTCCGCAAAAGAGTGCGTGCAATGAGCACACTATAATGGCTGACAGAAGAAGAAAGTTTGTTTTTCTGAAGTGAAGGAGACTTTCATTGTTCTACTAACGTTAGAATAATGACACTGACATACAGCCTGACAACATCTTCTCTGGCACTCTTAAACTCCATCTGACAGATGTGTCAACAGCTTTCATGCACATCTTTCAAAATAAAAGTCTTGCATCAGAAAAAAATAGAATGCTTCTTTTTGTTTCTCAGACTGCACACTCCAGGACTCACTCAAAACCATCTTGCGACCCACTTTTAGGTCACGACCCACCAGTTGAGAAACACTGAGCGAGGTAGCATAACACAGTAGCACAATAATAATGGGTCGCTTCAGTCCTGGGGGGCACACTTGTATTACATGTATTTGGTGCCACCTATTGTTGCAGGTGTATTATTGACTAGACCCTGTGTCGACCCCATTTTTATCAGATGTATTACCAAGAAAAATAAATTATTAAATTCAGAACAGTACAGTACTCTTTTTTTTGTGCTGTCAGACATTTTCTGCTCATTTTCAGTTTCTGTACGCTTATGCTATTTTTCCATTCACCCCCACATTCATTGCTTGCTTTTCCAAATGTAGCAATTAGAGATTCATGTAAATCAGGGCAGGCTTAAGAGTCATCATTGGTCCACTAGTTCTAGATTTACAGCTTCTCCTCTAGACAATCAATTAAAGAGGGGAGTTGACATCATTCCAATGGTATTGAAAAGTATATTTACATTAATATTTTTCAAGGTATCGTATCGAAGTTAGAAATTCCTGTATTGTGATGTCACTATTTGTTAGCTTGCTGCTTCTTCAATTTCTGTATTTTGAACAAGAGAATAAGAAGCCTACCTCACTGCAGCATTTTTCATGCACAACAGTTTAACTAAGAGTAAGATATGCCAGTCACACCCCAAGGAGTGGCTTCTAGATGCTCCTAAACAAACACATACTCTAGGAGGGCTGTGGAACAGAGGTGGATCAGGGAGAGGGACTGGGGCCACCGATTAGTTGGCATGGAAAATAGCAATGGTTGCCAAACAAAGCAGCAAGACAAAAACAGGAACTAAACAAAAGAACTGTAAACAGAAACAATGGTAACTAAAAACAATTCAATCCTTAAACATGAAACAGGTGAACACAGGCTGGGATCATGACAGTTTGTTATATTTCAGTTTGACCAGTGTTTGTTTTCTCCTAGACAGAACATTTCTACCTCTTTTAAGATTAAATACCGGTAATAATTTTTAAACATTTTATTTTAATAAATCTGCTCAGATAATGATGAAATCCTAGTTCCCCATTTCCAGCACATTTAATTCCACTACTTATCAGTATATTGAGTCAAGTCATCTTTATTTATAAAGCGCTTTATCCAATACAAATTGTGTCAAAGCAGCTTTACAGTGTTAAACAGGAAAACAGTGTGTCGATAATGCAGGAGGACAATAGTAAACACTCAATTTTTCAGTTAAAGTCAGTTCATCATTGATTCAGTGATGTCATCGTATATCTGCAACTAATCATATCCGCATATCCACAAAACTAATAGAAAATAACCAAAACAATCCAAGGTTTTTATTTAGAAGAGTGGCTAGATTAACAAATAACCAGACGTCTCCCGATCTAAATATTCCCTCACAGTTTCATAGTAATGACTTTATGAATTTCTTCACTGATAAAATAGATAGCATTAGAAATACAATAACAAATATAGGATCTACATCGTCTTGTAATACAGTTTCATTCGTCGCACCCAAAGAAAAACTGCAGTGCTTTACAACTATAGGACAGGAAGAGCTAAATAAACGTATCACTGCATCTAAGCCAACAACATGTTTATTAGATCCTGTACCCACTAAATTACTGAAAGAGTTGTTACCTGTAGCAGAAGAACCGCTTCTCAATATTATTAACTCGTCGTTGTCTTTAGGTCACGTCCCAAAACCATTCAGGCTGGTGGTTATTAAGCCTCGTATTAAGAAACCACAACTAGATCCTAGTGAACTGGCAAATTACAGACCCATCTCAAATCTTTTGTTTATGTCTAAAATTTGAGAAAAAGTTGTGTCTGCTCAATTGTGCTCCTTCCTGCAAAAAAAGATCTCTATGAAGAATTTCAGTCAGGTTTCAGGCCCCACCATAGCACAGAAACTGCACTTGTTAAAATTACAAATGTTTGATGCAAGAAGCTAGTTTTACTTGATCTTAGTGCTGCATTTGACACTATAGATCATGACATACTCATGCAAACACTATATGAATGCAAAGCTATACAGGTATTCAAGGGAAGGCTTTAAGATGGTTTAGATCTTACCTGTCCGATCGTTATCACTTTGTCTATTTAAATGGGGAATCATCTCAATTATCGGCAGTAAAGTATGGAGTGCCACAAGGATCTCTCCTAGGCCCTCTGCTATTTTCAATATACATGTTACCCCTTGGTAATATTATTAGAAAATACGGGATTAGTTTCCACTGTTATGCCGATGATACAGCTACAGGTAGTCCAAAATGCAGTGGCTAGAGTCCTTACCAGGTCAAGAAAATATTATCATATTACCCCAATTTTACAGTCTCTGCACTGGCTACCTATTAAGTTCTGCATCAGTTACAAAATATTACTACTTATTTATAAGACCCTTAACGGTCTAGCTCCTGCGTATTTGAGGCACACTCTCTCTGTTTAAATCTAGATTAAAGACACATCTTTTTAGCCAAGCATTCATATAATGTATCTCATAACATTGTACTTCAGCTATATCTGATCAAATGCACATTTTCATTTTTTTGCTTGGGTTGAACACATCATCTTTGCTTGGTTGGAACAGTAGCTACGCTAATTTCCTCTCTATTTGCTTCTCTGTTTCTGCCACGGAACTTGCATCCCGAGGTAACTAGGAATTGAGTTTAATCGCAACATATAATCATTGCAGTTAATAGTGTTCACCGTCCGTTTGATTACATGTAATTTGTAACTAACTGCATGATTCTTACTGTACATTTCTGCCATAGTCACCACTAATAACCTACTCCTAAATATAATGTAGAAACTTAAAATTTTCTGTAAAGCTGCTTTGCAACGATTTGTTTCATGAAAAGCACTATACAAATAAGCTTGCACTGAATTGAATTGAATTGAAAGGCAACAGTGGCAAGGAACCAAAACTCCATCTGTGACAGAAATTAAGAAAAAAAAAACCTTGGGAGAAAGCAAGCTCGGTCGGGGGGACAGTTCTCCTCTGGCCAGATGAAACCAGCATGACATGGTTTAATTCAAGGCTGCAACACAGGTCAGATTAAACAGAGGTCTCATCTGGTTCCCATGGTCTTGTGCCAATGGTCGTTGAGGTGATGAGGTCTTCGCAGAGGATCTGTCTCTGGGGCTCATCTAGTTGACATGGTCTCACTGACATTCAGGGCTGTAGAGGTTGTCTCTAGGTGCTGATCCACCATCTGGACTGGATCTGGATGACTGCAGTGACCATCCATGCCACATCCATTCCCTCTAGCCCCTTAGTCCGCTCCAGTGTTGACTCCAGTTCCTGAGTCTGCTCCAGCCCCCGAGTCCACTCCATATACCCGCGTGGCCGAAGAGGCCATCCTGATTCCCTGTCCTTCTGACTTATGCATCTCAGCCAAGGAGGCCATCAGTATCTCCTGTGTTCCAAGTTCCCTCTACACAACCGCAATGATATCCTGTGCTACTTACTCAGTGGTCATGCCACCTCCCTGGCTCCCTGAGTTACAGGTGCTGCCCTGGAGACACCCTAGTCTTCCGACACTGACTTGCTTACCTTCCCAGTACCAGCCATGTGTCCAGGGCACCAACCCTCCCTCCCTCCTCAGTGGTACTCTTCTTAGTGCGAGGACACACCTTCTGGGAGGGGGGAATGCTGTCCTGATCTCTGGTCTGTTGCTCAGTCACATCTGCACTACAGTTCCAATCATGATCCTTGAACCACACCTGACACCATTCACCTCATTACTTAGACACACAGCTCGGATACCCTGGTTGTCTGGTCTCGTTTAGAATTAAGACTGTATTCTCCAGAGTTCCTGTCGTATCTCCAGTGTTACTCCTAAGTTCCTGTCTCCAACATTTTCCTCCTGTGAAATTCAGCAGAAACTGCTTAAAACACAATCTGCATATTTTTTAAATGCTTAGATGTCACTACCTACACCTCATAGCCACTGGCTACCATTCATGTTTTTCGCTTGATAATTGCATAAAGTGAAGCATTTGTACTTAACACATGTCCCCACTTTAAAGGAAAGGAATGCAGGATTATGATTGCTTTGTCTTGATTATCACATTTTCATAATTGTTGGAAGCCAAAATTGAAATTGAAAATAAAAATTAATTTATCACAGCCTTATTGAGATTTTTTTTCTTGTCCAGCAGCTGTGAATCGGTGAATGACGATGTTGTCTGTTAAAGAGCTGCTTGTGGACTCACTGAAGGAACTGGTAGAAGCTGATCTGAAGGAGTTTCAGTGGCGCTTGAAGAATGATCGGAAGGATATATCAAATTATGAAATGGAAAATGCAGATAGGTTAAAAACAGTGGATAAGATGGTGACATGTTTTGGATCAGAAGAGGCTGTGAAGATCATGGTGGAAATCCTGAGAAAGATGAAGCAGAATGATCTTGCTGAGCAGCTGGAGAACAAACACAACCAAGGTAACATTTAATTCCCTGTAATTGTGACGTAATTGTTCACAAGTGTGATGTTTTGACATAAACTTTCCCCTTTTCTCTGCTGATGTTTGTGTGTCTCAGTGAGTGATCTTCTTTCTCTCACTCTCACAGCTCAGGCTGAGGGCAATATGAAGACATCTGCCCCTGTTGGAGCTGATTTAAAACAGAGCTGGGGTAAATAATATTCACTGTATGTTTAAAATACATTTGTCAAATCTGTTTAATGCTTTTCTCCTAATCTAATTTAAGTTGCTATTATTATTATTATTATTATTACAGAGCTTCAAAACTTCTTGGAAACTCACAAAACCAACATGAAGGAGAAAGCAGAACATATTTTTGAGGGCAACAAAGAAAATGAAGCACATCTCAAGGCTGTTTACACAGAACTGTTCATCACAGAGGGAGATATGAAAGATGTCAATCAGGAACATGAGATTCTGAAGATTGATGATGCTTTCAAGAACAAAAAAACACAGTACATACAAATCAAATGCAATTATATATTTACTGAACTGAGGAAAAAACATTTTAAAAAGACTGTTCTGACTAAGGGCATCGCTGGCATTGGAAAAACTGTCTCTGTGCACAAATTCATCCTGGACTGGGCAGAAGGAAAAGCCAATCAGGATATAGACTGTGTGTTGCTGCTTCCATTCCGAGAGATTAACTTAATGACAAATGAAGATTTCAGTCTCCACGAGCTTCTGCTGGAATTTTATCCTGAACTGAAGGACCTGGAGAAATCAAAATTATATACGAAATGCAGTCTAGCATTTATTTTTGATGGACTTGATGAGAGTCGCCTGCCTTTGAATTTTAAAAGTAGATCAATAAACATTGCTGAGAAAAGATCATCTGTAGATGTGCTGTTCACAAGTCTGGTCAAAGGGAATCTGCTTCCATCAGCTCTGGTCTGGGTGACCTCACGACCAGCAGCAGCCAATCAGATCCCTCCTCGCTATGTAGGTTTGTTCACAGAAGTGCGAGGATTCACTGAACAACAAAAAGAGGAGTACTTTAGAAAGACAATCAAAGATGAAACTGTAGCCTCCAGAATCATCTCACACATTAAGATGTCTCATAGTCTCTACATCATGTGCCACATCCCTGTGTTCTGCTGGATCACAGCCACAGTATTTCTGGATATTCTCATTGGAACCAATGCAGAGAGCATCAGCACAACACTCACGGAAATGTACATCCACTTCCTGCTGATACAGATGAACATTAAGAACCAGAAGTATGATGAACAAGAAGAAAGAGAATGTACAAAGCTATTAGATTCAAATAGAGAAATGATTTTGAATTTGGCCAAGCTAGCATTTGAACAGCTGAAACAGGAAAATGTTGTGTTTTATGAGAAAGATCTGAAAGCATGTGGAATTAATGTGAGTGAAAGTACTGAGTTCACAGGAATGATCGCTGAGATCTTTAAGAGGGAACATGGACTTCATGAAGCAAAGGTCTTCTGCTTTGTGCATCTAAGTGTTCAAGAGTTTCTTGCTGCTGTGCATGTGTTCCTCTGCTACCTGAAGAAGAAAATAGAGGAGCTTTGTTTTTTCTTTGACGAGCCAGAAGAAAATGTCACATTGCAGAAGCTACTGCAGAAGGCTGTTAACAAAGCCATGGAGAGTCAGAGAGGACATCTGGACTTGTTCCTGCGGTTTCTAATGGGCATCTCACTAGAATCTAGTCAAAACTTGCTCCAAGGCCTGCTCACACACACTGAAGACACCACAGAGAGCATCAGACAAACAACCGAATACATTAAACAAGTACAAAACAAGAATATCTCAGATGAAGCTTCAGTCAACCTGTTCTACTGCTTACTAGAGCTCAAGGATCAATCATTATATCAGCAAATACAAAGACACCTCAGTTCAGATGAACATCCAGGACTTTCATCTTCAATGTGCACAGTGCTGACCTATGTATTGCTGATATCAGAGATGGTCCTGGATGAGTTCAACCCAAAGAGGTTTACATCATCATCTTCAGATTACAAGAGACTCATTCCAGCTGTGAGATGCTGCAGAAAAGCCCTGTGAGTTTCACTGATCACTGTATTAATCACAGGTTTTACTCTATATCACCAAATAATTAAAGGTAAAAACACTGTGTGAAATATCTTGCTGACCTGCTTATAGAGGGTACGATGTATTACTGCAGAAACACTGAACATCAGAAAATAATCTGAGCAAACATTGTGTTTTGGCAGATTTGACAGCTGTGGTCTTAATGAAACATGCTGTGAAACAGTATCTTCAGCTCTCCAATCATCAAACTCTCATCTGAGAGAGCTGAACCTGAGTAATAATCACCTGCAAGATTCAGGAGTGAAGCTGCTGTGTGCTGGAGTGAAGAGTCCAAACTGTCAACTGAACATACTGAGGTTTGGCTTTCACATTCACTCATTCTCTGTATTCAAACATGTGCATGAACATGTGTTTTATAACTATATCTAGCAGATATTTCCCCCTATCTATATTGTAATATGAATGTATCAGTGATGTTTTATCAAGGCAGGCAATGCTTATGCAAATAAAAAAACTAATGAGAAAACATCTCGGGTTACGACTGTAACCCTTGTTCCCCGAGAAAGGGAACAAGACACTGCGTCGGTAACGACACTTTGGGGAACCCCCTCAGCGTAGCGAGTCTGAAGCATGAATGAAACTATTCCAATCCTGATTGGTGTTGCGTCATGATGTAACATGTGACGGCATAGTCGGAAGCTACAAAGGGACGCCGGCACACAACAGAGTCAGCTTTTGCGATGAAGCAAGCTGCTCCCAGGCATGGAGAGGTGTGGCAAAGAGACGCAGTGTCTCGTTCCCTTTCTCTGGGAACAAGGGTTACAGTTGTAACCCGAGATGTTCCCCCTCGAGGGAACTCACACTGCGTTGGTAACAACACTTGGTGAACGGATACCCACTATGCCACACCGAAGCCATGAATCGATATAATCTACTAAGGGAATCAGCCTCTCGAGGCTGACCTCGGGTGTTCTTCGAGTCTCATTTACGATCCCCTGAAGCGGAACACCGGCAGGAAAAGATCGAAAACGATTTTCTATGTGCGGACGCTGTCGCTGCCAGGCCGCAAGCCCTCGGGGCGGACACTGCAGCGTGTGTTCGCTGGAAATCGATGTGGCCCGAAGCATACTGGACGGCGGGATTCCAACATCGATTACCTGAGGCAGTGGTTCCCAATCCTGGTCCTGGAGAACCCCCAACACTGCACGTTTTTGGTGTTTCTCTTATCTGACACTCACATTTGAGGTCTTGGAGTGTTCACTAATGAGCTGATGAGTTGAATCAGGTGTGTTTGAATAGGGGGACATCTAAAATGTGCAGTGTTGGGGGTTCTCCAGGACCAGGATTGGGACCCAAGTTGGTGCAATGTGATAGTGAGATGGAAGATTCAACCGGTAAGTGACATCGTTGATCTGCCTCTGGATGGTGAAAGGATCTATGTAGCAGGGACTCAGCTTATGACAGGGCAGAAAAAGAAGTTTGGGAGCCAGGATGGCAGTTGGAGCTGCAGATCTTCGTGCATCGGCCTGGTTCTTTAGTCTCCATACTGCCTGTTGCAGGTGGATATGAGTCTCAGACCCTCTCACTGTCCTGGAACCAGTGGTTCATAGCTGGAACATCTGACGGCTCTCCTGACCAGGGAAACGGAGCAGTATGCACTGGAAAGGTGTTAAACCAAGTATGCATAGTATGCACTGTATGCATAGTATGCACTGCACTGTATGCAGTATAGCCAAGTATGCACTGGAAAGGTGTTAAACCAGTGGTGGTCTGATGAAGGGAGTTCTAAGCATGCTCAGCCCAAGGAAGGAAGTGACTCCAGCTGTGCTGGTGATTGTGGCAGTAGAAACGCAGCTCTCTCCCGATCCCCTAAATTTTTACGTTCAGTCTGGCCGCTGGTTTGTGGGTGATAACCTGAAGATAACCAATAAATTAAAGATGGCGGCACGACAGCAGCTCACAGCGGCCGCTCTAGATCCAAAAGGTGCTATTTCTGTGTTTTTAGACCGTTCTATAGACAGCGGTACAACCGATGTTCATATATATATCATCGACAGACCCTACTCAAATACAGAAATAATCCAAAAACTGCACTGCGAGACGATCTGATGAAGATCCTACGTGCTTGTAAGGATACACTCGCCGGCCCAAAAGCGGAGTCCAGTGGTCTGGTTGTATGTTTAATGTGCATTCAGTCTTTTACTTGTGCTTCTGAATTTATCAGGATTTAGTTTCAATTTTAGTCAAGCTCCGTGTTCAATCTGACTCCAATTTTAAGTGCTCATTAAATTTAGGCGATATTTCTAATTAAAAACTGATCACAATAATAAATTGTTATATTTGACTTATACTGATCTCTTCTGAAATCATTATTTCTAGTAGATTAAAGTGCAGTCTGGTGTTTCCGCAAATCTGCGTTCTAGGACAGGTCATACTGAAGTACCAATGAATGGACCATGGGGGACATCTTTAGGGACTTCTTATTTCTGACTGTCACTGACTTAACAAGTTACAATTTTCATGATTATAGAAAAAAAAATACACTTTTTGTTATTTGCTAGCAGGGTGCGGCATAATTAAAGGTATTATAATTACCCTGTATCCTCTGAGTAAGTACAGAACTGGCCAGTTCTAGAGTTCTTCTAAGCGACACTGGGTCATTAATGAACGAATAATTGAAAGTATGGGATTTCCAGAATAATCAAATATCTAAATTAATAAACAATTGATATTTGTTATCAGTTTTTAATTAGAAATATTGTATTTAATAATCACCTGAAATTGGTGTCAGATTGAGCACGGAGCTAGACTAAAATTTAAACTAAATCCTGATAAATTCAGATGCACAAGTAAAAGACCAAATGCGCATTAAACCTTCAACCAGGCCGCTGGACTTCACTTTTGGGCTGGTGGGTGGATCCTTACACACTCTCGGTTTGCTACGGAGACCAGGCCCCCTGTCCCCGGCATCGCCTGATGCCAGGAACCAGGGGAGGGGACACCGAAAGCGGTGCGAGAGGAAGCATAAGTGTGGAAAGAGAGCAGGAGTCTGCGCTAGGCTAAAAACAAACCCTAGCCGGCCGGCTGTCCCGTCTGTCATGCTCTCCAATGTCTGCTCCCTGGACAATAAATTGGACTACATTTAACTTCAACTAGCTACATGGAGTGAGTTCAGGGACTGTTGCATCTTTGTTTTCACAGAGACATGGCTCAGTAACAGAATTACGGACGCCGCCATTCAACTAGACAGGCTCTCTGTGTTTCGTGCCGACAGCACCCTGTTGAAAAAACCAGCATATCAGCATTTGGACTTTGCAACGAGAGGGACAAACATGCTGGATCTTGTTTACATAAACATTCCCGGCACGTCCCGCGCGGAGCCTCGGCATCGGTGACCAGCTACATCAGCAAGTGCATTGATGAAGTCACAGACTCCAAGACAATCACTACACGCTCCAACCAGAAGCCGTGAATGACTGCAGATGTGCGTGCACTGCTGAAGTCCCATGACTCTGCCTTAAGAACGGGTGATAAGGCAGCACTAAGAACAGCAAGGGCCAAACTGTCTCGGGCCATCAGAGAAGCAAAGCATGCACACTCCCAGAGAATCCACAGCCAGTTCAGGGACAGCAACGACACTCAGCGTAAGTGGCAAGGCATCCAAACCATCACCAACTACAGGCCAACACCACCTGCATGTAACAGTGATGCCTCCCTCCCAGATGCGCTGAATGACTTCTACGCACGTTTTGAGGCACAGGGCTCTTTTCTGGGACCTCTCTTGTTTATTATTTATCTTTTACCAATTGGTTTTATTTTTTAGGAAATATGGGGATCAATTTAATTGTTACGCTGATGACACCCAACTTTATCTGTCTTCTAAACCTACTACTGTTTTTGGGTGTCATCTTGGACAGTACTTTATCATTTGAAGCTCATATTAACAACATTACTCGTACTGCATTTTTCCATATACATATATTCCATATAAATGTTAATCGTCTTCGTCCTGTGCTCTCAACAAAGAGTACTGCTATTCTTGTACATGCTTTAGTAACATCACAACTTGATTACTGTAATTCCTTGTTTTATTCACTCCCTTCTAAATCTATACACAAACTTCAGAATCGGGATGGACAAGGATAGGAGCTGTGCAAAAGGCTGCCTTCAGATGTTGGTAAGCTTTGGTTGCGGTTCCAGGACAGAGACTTGGGCCGGTTTGTGAGTAACTTGGTGAGTAGAGCACAGATCTGACTGAAACTGGCAATGAATCCTCTGTAGAAGTTGGTAAAGCCCAAGAAATGTTGTAAATCCTTGACTGAGTTGGGTTGTGGCCAGTCTCAGATGGCTTGTACCCTTTCTCTGGTCCATCTGGATGCCATGCTCACTGATGACATACCCGAGGAAGTGAATGATCTTGCTGTGAACTCACACTTTACCAGCTTCAGGTACATTAAGTATTCCATGAGCTTCTGGAAAACCTGTGTCACGTGGTACCTGCTCCACTGTGGCCTCCTGGGCTGCCAGATCCACCATGGCTCCCCGAGTCCCCTGATCCGCCATGGCCGTCTGAGTTCCCTGCTCCGCCATGGCCTCCTAGTCTGCCTGCTCCGCCATGGCCTCCGAGTCTGCCTGCTCCGCCATTGCCTAGTCTGCCTGCTCCGCCATGGCCTCCTAGTCTGCCTGCTCTGCCATGGCCGCCTGCCCAGTTCCCCCGTAACCCAAGGAGGAGGATGAAGAGAAAAGGACTGTTCTCTGCCTTCATCCTAGCCCCAGAGCTCGCTCCAGTGTCGGCTCCAGCCGCAGAGCTCGCTCCAGTGTTGGCTCCAGCCCCTGAGTTTGCTCCAGTGCCAGCTCCTCGAAAGCGCCTTGCTGTGCCTGCTCCTCCAGAGCGCCCTCCAGTGCCAGCTCCTCGTAAGAGCTTCCCAGTTCCCGAGTCTAGCCCAGTGAGGACTCCTGATCCCCTGTTGAGCCCAGGGAGGGCTCCTGATCCCCTGTTGAGCCCAGGAAGGGCTCCAGATCCCCAGTTAAGCCCAGGGAGGGCTCCAGATCCTCAAGTAAGCCCAGGGAGGGCTTCGGATCCCCAGTTAAGCCCAGGGAGGGCTTCGGATCCTCAAGTAAGCCCAGGGAGGGCTCCGGATCCCCAGTTAAGCCCAGGGCTCCAGCCGTAGAAGCCGGGGCCGCAGCCTCGGAGGCTGCTTTGCCATGGCCTTCTGAAGTACCTGCTCCATCGTGGCCTCCTGGGCTGCCAGATCCGCCATGGCTTCCCGAGTCCCCTGATTTGCCATGGCCGTCTGAGTTCCCTGCTCTGCCATGACCTCCTAGTCTGCCTGCTCCGCCATGGCCTCCGAGTCTG